TGACTTTTGCCTGCTGTAGAGAGCGAGTGAGAAAAAGGGGGGTCATTTCCCTTTCTATTGGCAGGCTGCTACTGTAGCTCTGAAAGAGGCTTTGTGATGAAATATATAAGGCTAGAATATATGCTTCAGACATTCATATAAATTTGTGTGTGTGTGATTGTGTGTGTGTTTTCAGCTCACATGTTAGTCTTGAAGAGTGAGATATTGAATCTCGGTTTATTGTGTCTCTAAATTAAATTGGGGAGTGGAGGAGGTGAGCCACGTGGGTATTTGCAAATGTAATATTAATATGGTGATTATTGTGTTGGCGTAGAGGGAACAGAAGGTTATACATTGTCAAATGACTCTTCATAAGCTGCTATGCTGCACAAACGGTCCCCTACCAGGTGGTGAACACTCCCCCTAAAATTTGTGACGACAGGAAAGTGCACAGGGATGCCATATTTTTAGTCTTGAAGAGTGAGATATTGAATCTCGGTTTATTGTGTCTCTAAATTAAATTGGGGAGTGGAGGAGGTGAGCCACGTGGGTATTTGCAAATGTAATATTAATATGGTGATTATTGTGTTGGCGTAGAGGGAACAGAAGGTTATACATTGTCAAATGACTCTTCATAAGCTGCTATGCTGCACAAATGGTCTCCTACCAGGTGGTGAGCGTTCCCCTTGAAGTTTGTGACAACAGGAAAGTGCACAGGGATGCCATATTTTCAGCTTCCAAAAGTCATTGCTTTGAAGAAATGTTCATTTTCCGCTAAACTCATTTGGCTGATCTCCTTTTAGACCAACTGAAATGTAGGTATAGTGTGTGTGCACACCTGCAGGAGCAGAGTTTGGGTGGGGATGTGTCCATTAGCCTGGCTTTGCTTTGACTGGTTGAAGCCGCTCACCCCACCAGATTAAGGTGTTTCCTGTGGGCCAATGGAGGGAGGAGTTGTCACTGTGCCCAGGTCTCCTTTAACTCGGACTACACTCATGCGCTCTCACTCCCAAAACCGCCACTGCTTTTAATTAATGACACCGTCAAAGAAAGCCATTCACACACCCCTCTTCCCGCACACCGAAACTTTAAAGAACCATAAAGATCTTAACTCCGCAAATGTTTGCAATGTCGGGAAGTAATAAAACTTCAATGAAATCTTTTCAAAATTTGGAGTACCGAAATGGCAACACAAGAAAATGTCTTTCTCTCTCCGTTTCTTCAGAGGGTCTTCATCTCTTCTTTGATCTTTAACAATTATTTTATTATTATTATTAATATTTCTTATTAAAGGAGCCAATTGTGTGCGGTGCAGTGGATCATTCCACAATGTGCCAGCAGCAGTGATTCATTCATTGACTGTAGTGTGTGTTGCATGTCCCTGTGGGCTTTTATTTCCGTGACTCACCTCCGGTGTATTGGACTTAAGTCTTGCCTCTTTTAATTCACATACCAGATAGAAGTTTCTTTGGCTAGAAGGGCCCAGGGGTTTCTAGAATTAGCTCAGGCTTTTATGACATCCGTATGCTCGCTTGCGTCATGCCTTCCCCATTTTCACTCCACCTCCCCTGTCCTGGCATAGATATACACCCGCTCTCACGCAGCCTTGTCTCTGCCAGGCTAAGTACAGGTGGGTGACTGTTTTTACAGAAACTTGACTTTTATAATGATGTGGTCATATTTGAATTCATTATGGCAATAATCTGCATGAGCCTGCTTAACTCTGCATGAGCCATGTCCTCCCTAAATAGTCCACTAGTATTTTAAAGGTGCCACCACCTCTTGCGTGGAGTATGTCTTTGTTTTCGCTTAAAAGCCTTTGAATAAACCTGTGTGTTGACAATGGAGTGGTGCGTTGCTGTTTGAAGGCCACTGTTGCAAGTTTCAACTAGGTCAGGGGGAGGTTAGTTTGGCTTGGCGGTAGGTACAGGGCTTGAACACGGTGTCTCTGTATATTTCAGACAGAGTTGCAGCCTTCAGTTTTTTCTCAAACTAATCTTTGCCAATTGCCACTGGTTGAGCAGTTGCAGGTTTCCCTGAAGCACTTGAACACAAAAACACATGGGCCCGGTTTCATAGACTGGGCTTAGCCTAAGCCAGGTTTAGACCATAGTTCAATTAGGACATTTAAGTAATTTTTATAAACATGCCTTAGAAAAAAAAAACATTACTGGTGTGCATCTTGAGACAAAACAAGGGCACTGACATATTTTAAGATCAATCAGTGCAAGTTCAGACTTACATTTTAGTCTGGAACTAGGCTTAAGCCTTGTCTGTGAAACCAGGGGTTAATTTCCCAGAGTATCCTTACCTGTTGAAATTTCTTTGAATTGTAAGTTCCACTTTAATTCCTTTAATTCTAATTCTAATTCCAAATCTAGAATCAGCTCAGGCTTTTATGACATCCGTATGCTCGCTTGCGTCATGCCTTCCCCATTTTCACTCCCCCTCCCCTGTCCTGGCATAGATATACACCCGCTCTCACGCAGCCTTGTCTCTGCCAGGCTAAGTACAGGTGGGTGACTGTTTTTACAGAAACTTGACTTTTATAATGATGTGGTCATATTTGAATTCATTATGGCAATAATCTGCATGAGCCTGCTTAACTCTGCATGAGCCATGTCCTCCCTAAATAGTCCACTAGTATTTTAAAGGTGCCACCACCTCTTGCGTGGAGTATGTCTTTGTTTTCGCTTAAAAGCCTTTGAATAAACCTGTGTGTTGACAATGGAGTGGTGCGTTGCTGTTTGAAGGCCACTGTTGCAAGTTTCAACTAGGTCAGGGGGAGGTTAGTTTGGCTTGGCGGTAGGTACAGGGCTTGAACACGGTGTCTCTGTATATTTCAGACAGAGTTGCAGCCTTCAGTTTTTTCTCAAACTAATCTTTGCCAATTGCCACTGGTTGAGCAGTTGCAGGTTTCCCTGAAGCACTTGAACACAAAAACACATGGGCCCGGTTTCATAGACTGGGCTTAGCCTTAGCCAGGATTAGACCATAGTTCAATTAGGACATTTAAGTAATTTTTATAAACATGCCTTAGAAAAAAGCATTACTGGTGTGCATCTTAAGACAAAACAAAGGCACTGACATGTTTTAAGATCAGTCAGTGCAAGTTTCTTTCAGTTGAAACAGCTCAGATTTACATTTTAGTCTAGGACTAGGCTTAAGCCTTGTCTGTGAAACCGGGGGGTGAACACCTTGTTTAGAACAGCTTTAGTTGCATCTTCAGATTCAACTAGTCTTGCTGAAAGTTTTGTAACACCGGATTTGCATGTCGTTTAACCATCATTCAAGTCTAGCTTTGGCTCTAAGGTTGAAAAATTCACATCAGGATATTAGATGTGAGAATGCATGCTGTGAAGTTGTAACACACAGCACATAGTCTCTCAGCGCTATTTCTGTGAGTGAGGGTGTAGTGATGCACTGCGTGGCTGAGCAGCACACACTGTTGACCTCTGACCCGCAATATAGCAAGAGCATCATCAACGTTTGCTTTCCAGCGTGCTGTTGCGGCAGCTATTGTTTGCTTTTGCTGCCAACAAAGGAAGTGTTTCACTCAAAGGGAAGGAACCTGTTCATTACATATTCGGCAAGTAGCAGAAAAGCAAGACTGGCAGAGAAGGTCATTTGCTTTTTGTTTACACTTTCACATGGGCCAAATGGAATATGTTGTTGTTGCATTTTCTGTGAAAACTGATCTTTTGCATTTTCAGTGGAAATCACTGTTGCATTTTCCGAAATAAACTCGTCTAACTACAGATGATGTGACGGAGTCACAGGTTGGAGGAGAGTATTGAAAGGCCATCCATGGGAAAATTAAGGGCTAAAGGTCAATAGTTAATCCTGGGTGGTAACCTGCATCTGTATTGTATTCTTACCTTTTTTGCAATTTAAGCTCAATTTTGGATTCTCTTAGCAGCATAAACTTATTCATGAGCATGAACAACATGCAGCCATTTGTTAACATGGTGTCCACTTAGTGTAGTCTTTAAGGAGATTAGGTTTTCATCTGTAAGGTGAAACCAACCTCATATTTGTAGGACTGCTCATGAGGTTAGAAGATTTTCCGTTAAAATAAATCTCTCATTTCTTCTGCAGCTCTTCCTCCCAAGCCAACAAAACCCATGACACCAGTAAATGTCAACGGTGTGAAAGAAGTCGCCAGCGGCTCATTGCAAGAAGCAGAATGGTACTGGGGAGACATATCAAGGTAAGAGTCACTTGACATTAGATTTCATTTCTCACTTGATTGGATTTCTGTCTGTTCTGCTCTGAAAATGTTTCCTCATGCCAGTTAGCTTATAGTGTGACGATGCCCTCATCACGTGGTGGACACGTATGGCAGTGTGTAAGTCAGGTGATAGCTGACCAGTATAGTCATAAGCAGTGGTGTAATGTAACGAAGTAATAATACTTTGTTACAGTAATGAAGTATTTTTTGGGAGTATCTGTACTTTACTTGAGTTTCTATATTTCAGTCAACTTTTACTTTTACTCCACTACTTTTCCTAATTAAAATGTATACTTTTTAAAGGGGTCATATGATGCGATTTCAATTTTTCATTTCTCTTTGGAGTGTTACAAGCTCTTGGTGCATAAAGAAGATCTGTAAAGTTGCAAAGACTAAAGTCTCAAATCCAAAGAGATATTCTTTATAAAAGTTAAGAGTCA